CATCACGTTTTTGGGATTTCAGGTCACCACCGGGTGTCTCACCGCCTGGTTTGGGGGCCACCAAACATTGTCTGGTGGGGCCGTAGGCGAGCCGGGACGCTCCGCCGCTGCACTGGGCGGCGCGACGGCGGGCGGCTCCTCGACCGCCGGCCGCCTCACAGCGGCCGCGGAGGGCCCGCTCGATGAGCAGAGCGGACCTCGAGGTCGGCCCGGGCGGCCACGCCCACGGGAGGGAAGCGGAGGAGGAGGCGGAGGAGGAGGAGGAGAAAACAGAGGCGGAGGCGGAGGAGGAGGAGGAGCAACACTCCCATGAAGGAGACGAGAAGAGGGCAGGCGGACAAGAAAAGGACGAGACGAGGGCAAAGAGTTCAATATCCACGTCTCTCTACAACAGCGGCATTCCACGTCTCTCTACAACAGCGGAGGAGGAGGAGGAGGCGGAATACTTCCCCCCATGCCCCAGCCGAGGGCGTGCACCACGAGAAGCATGGGACAGGAGCATCCGCACCATGACGGGATGGCTGACTGAGCTGCTGGCAGCCGCTTCGGCGAGATGGTCCCCCGTCATATGCACAGACATGAATGGGCAAGTCAGTTACGTCGAAGGCGTCACGGGAATGCATAATTTGGGACCTTCCAACTTCACGACAGCAGGTCTCCCCGTTGCTCACAGCTCATGAATTGACTGTGGCCAACACGCATTTTGCACGAGGAGGCCCAACATACTTCAAATAATGTGTCGCCAAGACACTCGATTATTTGATAGTCCCGAGGTCGTGGTTGACGGCAGTCAGATGGTGTCGAACGCTCATCACAAGTGCATGGAGGCTCCAGGTCCACAACCTCAGCGGCATCTGGGACCACGTCCCCATGGCGGCCAGCTTCTCCTTGGAGGTCGTCGCTGAGCAGTACATTGAGTATAAGCGTGTGGAATTTGATGGAGAGAGTACCGCAAACATGCTCCAGCTCGGCGAAAAGCGACGAGCATTCGTGCAGCACGTGGAGTCATAACTGCGTCTGCAGCGGGAACAGCTTGCTGCCACGACGTGGGAAGACACACCCGATTTTGTGATTTCGACGATCCCCAAGGCGATCGAGAATGCGGCTACCAAGTTTCGTACGACAGCCCGAGGCTACACGGAGGACCACAAAGCACAAGCAAAAGAGGTCCGACGTCTGCTTTGGGAACGACGCAACATCCGTTCGGAGTTTCAATATCTATGCGGGATGGGTGAGACAGAGGTCTAAAATGCTTCTATCGAGGTGGACTACGACCGCGGGGTGGCCGAGTTGCAGCTGACGATCAGATTACGGCGTCTCAGTAAATGGTTAAGGCAGCAGGGGCAACAGTATCGGCAAGAGATCGAGGTGTTACGGTACGATGAGTTCATGAGGGCGGAGAAGTCGAATGACTTTTATACGGTCCACAAGATGGCGAGAATGTTGGCGCAAAGGCGCAGAGGAGGGCGTAAACGAGTTTATGGGCGGCATCATGTTTCAGGAACCAACGACGAGTGGGTGGAGAAGATGAAGCGACCAGGGCCCGCTGGCGGATGCTCGGCATTCGAGACCACGGCTAGCGAGATCCAAGTTCGACGAGGACGAGTGGTACGGCAGTGGGTCACGGGCGAGGAGATAGAGGAGGAGATGAAGGGTATCAAGAAAGCAATCTGGAAAGCACGTCTTTGGAGAAGCTATCCTACCTGGAGTTCAAGTGTGGAATTATTGAGATGTATGTTTTTTTTTTCCCGCAGCGGGTGAATGAAAGGGTGACGGCCAGGACCACTGGCCTTGGTCATGGGAGTGAGGTCGAGAATTTGCGCGCGACAAACTTTTATGTGTATGTGAGGTGTATGGCCGAGGCTATCATGATCACGCAGAGGTTTCCTCTAGACTGGCTGAGGGCGAAGGCCACCAAGATCGGCAAGGGCAGTGAGAAGGAGGGAGTTGATGGAGAGAGGGTGGTAATGATTATCTGCAGTATGGCGAAGTTTCATTACAGACATATTCTGATGCGCGCTGACGCCACAGGAATCCCCTCCTGGGCGTACGGCGCAATCAAGCACGGCAGGCGCGAGGGCGCCATCGTGGTGCAACTTTGTGGTGCATGGCGTCTGAAAGCAGCAGGCATACAGCATGCGAAGAGGCTCCACGACGCAGCGAACGCATGTTTTCGGTGAAGGCTTGTAAGCTGCTGCAGGTAGTACACGCAAAAATGAAGTACGAACACATCACGATGATGATTGATCGGGTCCAATTCGCACATGTTGTTTTCTCGGGCTCCACCGAACATATGTTGTTAATGGGGGAGGGATGTATGCCAGGTGATCCGGCTATGGTATTATTGTTTGTTATGGCGTATGTAAGAGGGCTCGAAGAACACGCATTGAAATCTATAACATTGATCGAGGTCACTTCACCATGGACGGGGAGACAGGAGTAGGCGGCGATGAGATTGTTCGTCGATGATATTTCGGATACATTCCCGTTTAAGAATCGGGCGGAGGCGGAGGTGGAGGGAACAAATAAAGCATCGAGATATCTGCTGCTTTGAGAGAGATGGGACTGGACCAAAATATATCGAAGCAGGAAACAATACCGTACTGTTGTGGTAAAGGTGCATCTTATCTGAAGAAGATGATCTTAGCAGACAGTGTTCTTGAGGGACGTGCAGCAGCAGCAGCGAGATATTTAGGAGTTCGCATGACAGCGAGATTTTCAGTGCAGACCGAGACGGGGTACCGCATTCGGGCAGGAAAAGCGGCGTGGGCCTCTATGGGCAACTTCTGGACCTCGAGAGTTTCCCAGAGGTGGAAGATATCTCTATGTAAGGGGTACGTTGTCAACGCGATCCTCTCGGGCATCGAAACGGTTCGTCAAGCTCCAGGGGCCCATGAAGGTTCAGGATTTCGCGGGGCTCGGGGGCTACGTTGCTAGGCGTGGACGCGTTGTCTTGGGAGGGGTGGCATGTACGAGGGAGGACGGGTCCAAGAGGGCCCGAGCAACCTCGAGGTCATGGCGAGGTTGGGAACTGCAAATATTTTTGTGGAGGCCCGTATTCGGAGGCAAAACATTGTTACAAAGTTTGCTGGCGGACCTCGAGTCGGCAGACCAGCTCCTGGGGATCGCCTTCGGAAGCCTCAAGAGCGGGGACATCGAAAAGCCGTCGTTCCAGGACCCTCAGGCAAAGAGGAACCCGTGGGCCCAGCAGTGGCTCCAGGATGTCCAGGAGTTGGCGACGCACGAAGACGGGGAGGTTTTCTGGAATACTATGATCACAACCCAGCAAGGGCCAGATTGGAGGGGAGAGAAGAATTTATCAAACTAAACCTGAATGGCACGCGCGCGCACTTCATACACCACCGTGCCGAGCATGAGCCCCAGCACGCACAGAGTTTGCTAGGCGGAGAATATCAGTGCTGGGCCGAGGACGAAGGAGGACGACCTTGTCAAGCACGCTTCCCAGACAGAACGAGACTGGCCTCTCACTATGTACACACAAAGGGCGGCACACACGGCAATCTAATATTGTTTCGGGCGACATGTTTCAGCAACATGTGTACCATATGCGGCACGGTGTTCACCACGTACGCGCAGGCGCACGAGCACATGCACAGGGCGTTCGAGAGAGGCTTGTGTGTGGATCGTGCGCGGTCAGGAAATGAAGTACGAATGGTGGTCTCATATTGTCGTCTATGCGAATGTGTAGCGGATGAGGCCCAAGAGCTGCGCCAGCATATTCTAGATCGTCACCTCAGCCAATACATTCAAGAGCATCAGATAGAGTTCGATGGCATGGCTCCTCCAAAAGTCAGGGCCGCAAGAAAGGACGACGCAGCCGCCGGGCAAGAACGTAAAAAGCAAGGAGTCAGAGGAGGTGCTCACGCGTCGGCTGGCAGTGCAGCTAGAGGCGAGAGTCAGGACCCTCGAGTATGTGCAGGCCGTTCAGATATTTCTGCCGCACGATCATCCATTGATCGAGAACGGCCGCAAGACCTACCAGAAGTACTTAGACACAGTCAAAGCAGAGGGACCACAACACGAACGGGGACCCCCAGAGTTGCAAATTTTCGGGTCGAATCTGTCCGTTATCGCCAGCTGGTCGAACGAGGGCACATCCAGCCCAGCCATGAAGAGGTTCAAGGGGGTCCCCGAGAGACTGTTGCAAATGCTGGCCCGCACAGACGGAACAGGAGCCAGCGAGTGGGTGAAGGAGTACACGTTTTCGCCGACATACGATCAAAAAAAGACGAGGATCACCGTGACCCTCCTCGGGCAGCTGCTCGTCGGAGTGACGCCAGAGGCAGCAGAGCTGCTTCTCAAGGAGCAGATGGACGCCTGGGGCGGCGCGGCGAGAGATCCCACGTTCGACGCCAAGCTGCAGAAGAGCCCGCTCGAGATCATCCCGATCCCCAGCGGCACGAAGATCATGAATCTCAACAGCGTGTTGAGTCACGTCCTGAGGGAGTGGGGATGCGCCCGCAAGCCAGGCCGCGCCCCGCGGGGAGAGATGGCCACGATGCTGCAGGGCAAGAAGTAGGTGACGAGCCTCCGAGCGAGGCGCCGCGGCCCGCGCGGGCCGCCAGCGGGCGGGGGCCTAGGACTGGTGCTTCTTCCTCTGGTCCGAGGGCCCGCGGCCCCAGTGGCTGAGGGGGGGGGGCCCTTCGGGGGCCTCACCCTCGGCCGCTCGCTCTCTGGTGGCGCTCCGCCCCCTGTGTGTTCGGCGTGCCGACAGCAGGGCTGGATCCGAGGGTGGAAGCATCAGCTCGAAGCGAGTAGAGTTGCCCGGCGTCGTTGTGCTCAGGCAGGATTGTTGGATCATGAGGCGCGAATGGGATGGGTAAGTGAGTAAAGAGGAGGCGGAGGAGGAGGCGGAGGAGGAGGAGGAGGCGGAGGAGGAGAAGGAGGAGGCGGAGGAGGAGGAGGCGGAGGCGGAGGAGGAGGAGGAGGCGGAGGAGGAGGAGGAGGAGGAGAAGGCAGAGGAGGGGGAGGAGGAGGGCGACGAGGAAGAGGGGGATTGGTTGGTCGGGACGCCATCGAGCAGCATGTGACCTGCTCAAGACGCGACCTATCAAAATGTGAACTGCTCCTGGCTATGACTCTCGGACAACATAAAAAATGTCGCCTCTGCAGCTTAGGGAGGAAAACTGGCCAGCGCTCGGGCGTACACTCCTCGTGCATGCGTTCGATTTCGTGCGTGCATGTGTTTTCGATTCCGTGCGTGTGTGTACGTCCCTCGATGATTCTTGCCGGAAAGAAATACACACAGGCCGTGCGATGCCGGGTGATAGGATTGGCTCAGAATGCATTTCAGGGTGTCCAGAAAGTGGCTAGCGGCCATCGTTTCTGCAGCCCCCTGTGGGGAGTCAGGGCACCTGGGGACCGTCCTGGAAATCTTGGAGCTAATCCTTCTCATGACCTTTTGCTCCTCTCCTCCGAGCTCGAGACAGCCCCGCCCTTCGCCGAGGGCTTGTGCCAACGGGCTGGTGGTCAGCTGAGCGTGGGCCAACGCTCAGCTGACCACCAGCCCCGCGCCAGCCGAGGCGGGGCGACTGCTGGCACCAGACCGCGGCCCCACCCGCTCAGGACGGCCCTGCGCTTCGCCGACGGCTGCGAGCGAAGCCGTCCACGAGGGCCGCCGTCCTGCGGCAACTCGCGGGGGCCTCCCATGCCATCTTGCTGGCTCCCGCGAACCTGCGCCGACCGACGCTAATCGACGCTGATCGACGCTACACCGGCGCGAATCGAGGCCAGATCGGCACCCTCTCATCGACAACCAGACGCTGACGCACGCGGATGCACTCCGAAGACGGAGCTGCGAGAACATGCGAGGCTCACATTATCTGCTCCCGAAGCCGGCGCCGCGGCGCACGATGGAGTAGGCAGAGGAGAAGCGGGTAGAGCACCACGCCCGAGGGAGACGAAGGAGCCGCTCGTCCTGCTCACCTGAGCGCCCGCAGGCGGCGCAGAGGTCAGTCTTCGTAGCGCTCCGGCATGGCCTCCTCCAGCATGAGCACGAGCTGCTCGGAGGTGAGGTGGCCAAAGGAGGACGGCAGCAGTGGCAGCGGCGACGGCATCGCCTCCGCCAGCACCAACGGCGGCGCAGTCAACGGCAGACTCGTCGACACCTGCAGGGGGACGCCGGCCGTACACTGGCACCGATCCTAGCCGGGCCAGATCGGTGCACACGCCCTCCTCAGAAAAACAGAAAGCAGCAGAACATACAAACTTTGGGAAATCCGCGAGGATTTTGTCGATCGGTGCTGGACCCCCCTCCCTGGTGCGCGGAACGCCCAAAAGGCGTTCGGCGGGCGCGCTGTTAGCGGTGTCCAGCGCCGATCCGGAAAATCCGCGTGGCATTGCGAAAGTACATATTCATGCAGCTGTTTATATATTCTTCTTCGGCTCCTGTCTGAGCCAGGGAGGCGTGTGCAAACAGAACTGATCAACTCAAGATAGCGCCCGAGGGGGTACGGCATGTCATGCTCCAGATGTGAGGAAGGCATGGATGCGCGACAGACTTAGGTGGCGACTTCCAATCCCTAAAGCCCCAACCATCGAATTCTCCTGAATCAATGGGAGGCGGGAGTAGGGCTCGGACTTCGCCACGTGTTCGACGAATTCCGAAGCCTATCCCCCGTCGCCCATCAAATGCCTGAATCGTCAGTCGGCGAGGGTTGGAGGCGGCCCGGGGGCCTGAACTGGACGGGGCTCCAGAACATCAGCCAGCGGGGGGAAGGACTCCAAACCCACTCCAAATCGTCTTCGGACCCCTCCCGGGATCCATCTGGTGCAAGGTTTCACCCCGGATCTGTTTCTGACGGTCCTGGGGCTCGAAGACGGCCCCCTCAGGCAGAAAAAGGAACACGGAAACCGTCCCGAACCCACAAGCTCAAACCGGCCTGGTTACCCGATCCTGCTGGCCGGCACCAGTGCTGGACCACCTCAAACTCCCAGACGGCTACAAGGCGAGGGCACTCTGGATGGCATAATAGTCGCCCCCCCCTTGGGTTCGAGGGGGGGGGACGGGCGCGTGCCGTCGGTGGGGGATCGGGGACGGATAGCAATTTGAAGCCTGAGTTCCTGGGCCAGGTGGGGGGCGGGGAATTCGGGACGCGTGTTGAGGGGTGGTGGGGGGGGGCGTGGCTTCATTGGGGGGGTCATAGATGGGGGGGTCCGAAACGGTCCCCTTTCCTGCCCATTTCGGGCCCCTCCAGAGCCCTAGGGGGCTCGTTCAGGTACGGTTTGGGTACCTTTTCGGACCACCCTCGCCACCCCCTCAGTTGTGATCCCCCCATTACGTGACGCCCAAGCCGGAGGATGGGGACGCTCCGTCGGAAGCACAGATCGTTTGGGGGCGCGTATAATGGGGGTGGGGGGGCGATGACTGGGGGAGGGAGGGGCGGCGAGGGCTGCAGAAAAGGTGCCCTTTGGGGCCCCTCGAGCTCAAGGGGGCTCAGAACCAAGACCCCCGACATCGCGATTTGTCTGCAACGTCGATCCCCAGAGGTCTCGACCCCTTCTTCGGGACAGGTTTTTCATCCTGAGTCGTTTTCTGACGGTTCCGAGGCCTGGAAAGGGCCCCCCGAGGCAGAAAACAGTGACAGACTTCCCGTCGTGATACTTTCACGGCGCGAGGAGGTCTGGGAAGGGCCCCTTTCTCCCCCCCCCGCTCCTCGCCCCCCCCCCTTCCCAACTACTTCGCGCCCGACTCGTTTGACATCGGCAGGTCCCGGGCCGCCACCGGCGCTCACCCTGGGAACGCCCTCGCTGGGGTTAGGTCGGGCATGTCCTCCTCCAGGCGGAGTCTGGCACAGCAAAGCAAGTCAACAGAAGTTAAAGAATAGTCGGAACATCGTCAACATATGTATTTTAAAAGTCAATCTTTTTCATTGTACAAATAGAATAAATATTTTTCGAAATAACGAATAATCGAAAAATAATCAAAAATAGTCGAACATAAAAATTAAAGAAAGAATAGTCGAAATTAAAGAAATAAAGAATAGTCGAAAAAAAAGTCAATCTTATTCACTATTTTGGAATGTTCCTCCTGCAGAGGGACAGGCTCGACTCCACGTCGGGGCCGCCGCCCCGCCAGCACGGCGCGACCCTGCCCAGAGATCCCCCCCCACTGAAGCTCGCCCTCGGCGATTCAGAGCTGGCCGATCTCTTCTCCGTCGTGGGGCATATGGCGGCAACGCGCAGAGGGGGTATGTCGGGTCGGGCGAAAGGGGGGGATAGCAAAGGGGGGGTTTGAGAATCAGCTCGCGTAGCTGATTTTCCCGGCGCCTCCCGGCGCCGGAGGTGGCTATGTATCGAGGAACGGGCCCCTCGGTGGGGCCGAAACCAGCTACATGCAGCAGATTTCGTAACCCCCCCTTTCCCAAACCCCCCCTCCGACCCGAGTATGGGGGAGAGGGGAAGGCTTCTTAGAAGGAGGCTGTTTCTTGGAGGCCAGCACCTTCTGAGAGGCAGCCTCCTTCTCAGAAGTCTTCCCTCCTTCCCCTACCCATATTATGCGCAGCAGCTGTTGTCGAAACGCCGAACCCCCAAGAGGCCTCGACCCCTTCCCGGGGACCGGCTGGCAGCTTCCAGAGGCCTCGACCCCCAGGGGCCTCGACCGGCAGGGGCCTCGACGCCTTCCCCAAGGTCTCGGCGCATTCCCGCTCGAGGTCGCTCCTAATCAACATCCCGGGGCCCGGCGAAGGCCCCCAGAGGCTGACGATAACAAACGACGACGTCCGTCGCGTTATCGTTCACGACGCGAAGTGGTCTGAAACCCAGACCCCCGACGTGACAATGTTTTCACGCATCGGCTCCAAGAGGTCAGGACCCATCCCCAGGACTGGTGTTTCGTCCTGAGTCGTTTTTGACGGCCCCGACGCCCGTTAAGGGCCCCCAGGGGCAGAAAGTAGCGATCCCCCCCTCGCGATTTTTGTCGCAACGCGAGGGGGTCTGGGACCCGCCATTGGCTTCCCCCAAACCTGGGCGACCGCCTCCGCAGGCACCGCCTCTGCAAGCCCCGCCGCCACGGCACGGACCTCCTGCCCCGCGCCGCCGCTGGCAGTGGCAGCCAGGGGCTGAGGCGAGCCCAGCCAGGCGCGGGCGGCGACGCTGCACAGGCGCGCGCGCTGGTGCGCGGGCAGCGCGGTCGCAACCCTGCTGAACTGGTCGTTGGACTCTCTCAGGAACCCGTGGAGCCTCACCGGGGACGCCCTCCTCCTCCTCCTCCTCCTCCTCCTCCGCCTCCTCCTCCTCCTCCTTTCTCCTCATCGTCCACTCGCCCGGGCAATCACTGTCACGGGCAGCCCCTTGCGCCGACGCGGGCCAGCGCTCACCCCAACAAGAAGCGTGGCGAGACCGCTCCCCGACTTAGGACTCCAGATGGGTCGAACGATCTAAGGTCGAACTCGAGGATCTATAGGGAAGGGCGGCCATCCTCGACAGGGGGGCTGCGTCCGAACAGCATCGGAAAGGGGGGGGGCATCACCCAATTCCCGTTCGCTTCGAACTGCTATTTCCCCAAAGACCGCGTTCGCTTTCCCAGACATGCGACGTCCTAATTGATCAAGGACGGCGTCCCTGGAAGTCCCGACCCTTTCCCCGGGACCGGTTTTTCGTCCTGAGTCGTTTTTTGACGGCCCCGAGGCCTGGCGAGGGCCCCCCGGGGCCGAAACGACCCAAAAACCTCCAGTCCGGATTCTTTCTTACGACGCGGCCCTGCCTGGGGCTGCTTCCCCCAAGACCGCGCTTGCTTTTCAGGAGTTCCTGCCTGGATCGAAGGATTGCAAAAAGGATTGCAAAAAACCCAGGATTGCAAAAAAAACCTTGGTCGAAGGATTGAACAACAATTTTTGTTTGCAATCCTTCGACCCAGTTTTGATGTTTGCAATCCTTGTTTTTTTTTGCGATCCTGAATCCGAAGAACACCTGGCTGGGCACGCCGAGGCCTGGGCCGGAGCCCGGACGGTGGGCGCCTCATGCGGTCGCCCCGCGTTGGGGGGGGAAGGGCTTTTGTGGGCCCCGGAAACGGCAGGGCCGTTTTTTCACCGTTTCCGAAAATGCCATTATTATTAGTATTATTATTATTATTAGTAGTAGTAGTAGTAGTAGTAGTAGTAGTAGTAGTAGTAGTAGTAGTAGTAGTAGTAGTAGTAGTAGTAGTAGTAGTAGTAGTAGTAGTAGTAGTAGTAGTAGTAGTAGTAGTAGTAGTAGTAGTAGTAGTAGTAGTAGTAGTAGTAGTAGTAGTAGTAGTAGTAGTAGTAGTAGTAGTAGTAGTAGTAGTAGTAGTAGTAGTAGTAGTAGTAGTAGTAGTAGTAGTAGTAGTAGTAGTAGTAGTAGTAGTAGTAGTAGTAGTAGTAGTAGTAGTAGTAGTAGTAGTAGTAGTAGTAGTAGTAGTAGTAGTAGTAGTAGTAGTAGTAGTAGTAGTAGTAGTAGTAGTAGTAGTAGTAGTAGTAGTAGTAGTAGTAGTAGTAGTAGTAGTAGTAGTAGTAGTAGTAGTAGTAGTAGTAGTAGTAGTAGTAGTAGTAGTAGTAGTAGTAGTAGTAGTAGTAGTAGTAGTAGTCGTAGTAGTAGTAGTAGTAGTAGTAGTAGTAGGTAGTAGTATTTTTAATGTTAACATTATGAGTAGTATTACTATTATTATTATTATTAGTAATAGTAGTAGTAGTAATAATACATATTAATAATAATAATAATAATTAGTATTATTTTTACTACTACTACTACTACGACTATTAATATTATTAGTATTTATTTACTATTATTATCCATTGAAAATGGAAGCGGCAAAGAACGGCGACCGGAAACGGCAAACAAAAAGGCTCCAAGATCGGAACTGGAGCCGGAACCGGTGAAACAACGGCGACGGAAGCGGCAAAAAAACGGCGTCGAAACCGGCAACAAAAACGGCAAAACGGGACCGGTAAAACAACGGCCCTGTCGTTTCCAGGGCCCGCTGAGGGGGAGGGCATGCCCGTGGGAGGGCGGGCATGTCCTCCCACAGGCGGACTTTGGAGGAACAAGATGAAACATGGCCCAGGAATATTGAAGAAATGGTAGAAACATCTCGTCCCCAGGACTATTGCTTGACTCATTTTTGAAAGCCCCTCCTGTATATAGTCGAGGGGTACAGCCCAGGAGGAGAAGGTGGAGGAGGAGGAGGAGGAAGGGGGAGGATGATGATGATGATGATGATGAGGAGGAGGAGGAGGAGGAGGAGGAGGAGGAGGACGAGGAGGAGGAGGAGGAGGAGGCGAACAATTATATTGACTACCTTCGCTGTAGGGGCATGCCCAGCTTAGGGGGTAGGCCGAGGCGCCGCCCGGCGCCACAGCCCGTGGTCGGCTCCTGGGCGCCCCGCTCGCGAGGGCCTGCCGGGCCCCCCCCGCCCGGTGCCCGCCCGTGGGTGCCGCGTCGGGGCTGTCCTAAGTCGACTCTCTCGGTGTCCTCCTCCTCCTCTTCCTCCTCCTCCTCCTCCTAATCCTCCTCCTCCTCGTAATCCTCCTCCTCCTCCTCGTAATCCTCCTCCTCCTCCTCCTCCTCCTCCTCCTCCCCCTCCTCCTCCTCCTCCTCCTCCTTCTCTTCCTCCTCCTCCTCCGCCAAGGACGAGTGCCCCCCGCGGAATGGTTAAGAAATCATGGGTTCAGAAATTCGTGGTCTCAGAACTTGAATAAAAGACCCAACATTTCTATCAACATCTCAGGATTCGCATGGAAACGTTAAGAATAATCGAGACTCTGGCCGAAAACTGAAGTTTTCTTAAGCATCGCCTGAGGAGTACCCCCAGGAAAATCCACGAGCGGGCCCGGAGTCCCCCCCACCCCCAGCCCCACCCAGGAAACGTAGCGGGGGAGCCCAGAAACCCTCGCTGTCCAACCCCGCTGGAAAACTAGAACCCTGCCCTCCCCCCCGCCCCCAGGCAACGACGACGACCACGATATGAATCGAGGGGTGGGCGACTCACCTTCCGACGGAGCTTGCCCATCCCCGCCACCCTCCTCCTTCTCCTCCTCCTCCTCACCCTCCTCCTTCTCCTCCTCCTCCAACCCCCCGTCCACCCGTTCCGCCAGCACGCGCCCAACCCCCCCAGCGGATCCAAGGGGGGGGGGGGCGATTATTGCCCCATCCGGAGTAGGCTCCACCACCCTACCAAACCAGACCTATCGACCCCCCCTTGGGACACTGCACGTCTAATCGAAGTCTGTCTCATCGCTCATCTTCCCTGTGAGACTATGCCATCCCAGCCAACGGGTCATCGCCACCCCTTTCACTTGTCAAAAATTAGCCTTGCGAAGGACCTAACCACATGCGGCTGCGAGTTCGCACGATTTCTTTCGATCGGCATCAAAGTGCCATTAACATTGGCCTGAATTGGCTCAGGCTCCCACTTCCGCCGTGACACCTGGACGCTTGGGATGACGGCCTTTGCACACAGGGTTTCAATTACTATATCTGGTCGACCGAGTGTGGCCTGTGCAGTCAACTCCTAAGCCAGACACTCGTTCATGTGACGAGTAACAGTAACACCGCATACAAGTGGCCAGGCAAGCCTGGTCAGAGCACGCCAAAGTGATACACTTAGGTCCTCTACCGTCCACAACACTCGCGGTGACACCCGAGACAAGCTTACAAGGAGTAGGAGGAGGAGGAGGAGGAAGAGGAGAAGGAGCAGGAGGAGAGGAGGGGCAGTCCAGCATAGGGAGGGCGAAGGAGGAGGAAGAAGAGGAAGAGGCGGACCGTGAGTGGTCAGCCTACTGGCCTTGCAACAAGGAGGTGCACTGCCAGAAAACTTGGCCTGACCCCAAACAGGAGCTCTGGGTGGGAGCCAGTGTGCAACGCGGGTAGCACTGGCCACTGAGACAGGCTGGCTGACAGGCTTGCCGCATTGCGCGTCTCAAGAGCCAAGGCGGGGCCACAACGGAAACACCTTCGTGGCCAGAAGTGCCACCGCCCTCGACACCTCGAGAACAAAAAACGCGAATGGCAATCTGCACCTTTGAGGGCTGAGGGCGACCAAGATGCCCTTCACCAGCGCTGCCACAGTCACAACCTTGCATTGGCGCAGCGGTTGCCCAAACGGCACAGCTTGTCGCGAGGAAGGGTCCGCTCGTCGAGGGACAAGTGTGCCGTCACTCGGTGACGAGACATCATCTTTCAAAGCTCAGGGGCTAGAGAGAGAGAGAGAGAGAAACAAAAAAAGAGAGAGGGAGAGAAAGAGAGACCAGAAACAAAAAAAACAAACCAACGCTGCAGCAACGCTTTGGCGACCTCAGATCCACTGTGGCGCCCAGAGTGATCGTTCCCCAGCTGAGCGTCGGTGTGAAAACCTAAAGGCCCGCTACAATACACAACGGCTTTGCACATGGCCGCGACTTCGCCAACAGGGGCAGTGTGAGGGTAGCATCGTGGCACGGGTCTGCACATCCTCCCAAGGAGCTCTCGTTGGCCGCCAACGGAAGCAAAACACCAGCCTGCTCTGCACAATTCGCGGGCAACGCGCCTGAACGGCGAGGCCGCCATGCGGGCGCTGCCACTGGGGCCTGATGTACGGCCCCCCCTATTGGGGCCGCGAAGCGTGTGAGAGGGTGTGCCGAAACCGGGCGGGGCCGCCATGCGAACGTCGAGCTCCCCGTGGAGCCGCGAGGAGCGCGCGAGGCGTGTGCCGAAGTGGGTGGTGAGAAAGCCACGTGCGAAGGATGGCCACTGGGGCCACGGGTGGAGCTCCATTGAAGGGGCCACAGAGCGCGTGAGGGGTGTGCCGAAACGGGCGTGGTGGCGTTCCTCATGGAGCCGCGGGGCGGCCTGACGTGGAGCTCCTTCTTGGGGTTATGAGGCGTCTGTGGGTGTGCCGAGATGGGTGGGGCGGCCGCATGCGAGAATGGCCACTGCAGACCCAAGTGGGGCTCCCGATGGGACCGCGAAGCGTGTGAGGGGTGTGCCGGAATGGGAGGGGAGGCCACATGCGAGCGTGCCCACTGTCGCCGCCATTGCAACCATCAGAACTCAAACACCTTCGTAACCTACACATGGGCATCGTCGTCATCATCATCATCATCATCATCATCATCATCATCATCATCATCATCATCATCATTAGCATCATCATCATCGTAATCATCAGCATCATCATCATCATTATCAGCATCATCATCAGCATCATCATCATCATCGTCATCATCATCAGCATCATCATCAGCATCGTCATCATCATCACCATCATCATCATCATTACCAGCATCATCATCGACATAATCAGCATCATCATCACCACCACCACCACCATCCTCATCATCATCATCATCATCATCATCATCATCATCATCATCATCATCATCATCATCATCATCATAATCGGCGTTGCTAACATCGGCGCAACTTTCGTCATCAGTGTCGCCTTTGCCGACAACGTCAAGATACCACGACCGTCCGGGCCGCCGAACCGCGCTCGATGTGCCCGCGTGCCAGCGCTGCCTCTGACCCGCGCTGGGAAGCTCCATCGGTAAGCGCCATCGCGGCCGCGTCGGCTGTGCTGAACCAGCTGGCCGCTCTCTGCGCGAGCTTGCGCGCGCCAGCGCGGCCGCAGAGATGAGCCAGCCAGGGCCAAGCAGTCGCCGGAATCGCAGCCGCACGGAGCTGCAAAAGGGGTTTCGGGCGGGGGGGTGGGAAGAGTTCGCGAGCGATGGGGTTGACAAGTCATGGGCTCGCACAAAACAATGCACCACGTAGAATGCACAAGGTAGCTTGCACCAAATAGCCTGCGCCGCATCGCTTGTGGCACATAGCTTTCGCCGGATATTTTTGACCACGTGGGACCTCATTTCAGAAGATGCATAAACTCCCCCCACCATGCCACCCCCCCTAGGGTTAATGGCATCCCGTGGGACACTGTGAATTACTTACGCTTCAGCCTCATCTTTCTTTTGCCATGTGAATTCATACCTAACCTAATTGGTATCGCCCCCCTCACCCCTGACAAACAAGACCATGAGCTCGCAGCCCTTTTTATCTCAAGCTACGATGTTTCAAAAACTCGATCTTTAACCATCACTATTCAAAAGCATTCCCCCCAACCAGCAAACACAAAAGTATAGGCTCTGGCGAATAAGTCGAACCCGTACCACCCACATTCGTTATGCAAGCAAATCAACATACACATCGACTGCCCTGGGGTTTTCCATCGCACATATTGCAGACGCTCTGCCCGCGCGCAGTTGTTGAGACCTTGGAGCATGCAATTTGCACCATCTAATCTGGACCCCGCGTTCTCATGTCACCACGCGGCGCACCCGCGTCTATCTGGCATGCGCCCAGCGCACAAATCCGAACGCAAAATTACAAAGACGACCACACGCGCACTTCGCCACGCGCGCGTGTCGGAATCATTTGAATAGAAACGAATTAACAATATATGGACAACACATGCCAGGGTGTTTGCACTTCCGCGCGTACACTTCCTCGCCACCGTTCATTTGCACCGCATCACCCCCATTCTCGTCATCGCCAATCGCGGTCATTGCTGCCAATATGAATCAATCACCTTCGCCACTGACACTCGGACAGCATCATCATCATCATCATCATCATCATCATCATCATCGTCATCATCATCATCATCATCATCATCATCATCATCATCATCATCATCATCATCTTCATCGACATCGTGGTCACTTGCATCGGCACCGTCATTGGCGTTGCCGTCGTCACCGCCATCACCACCACCACCATCGCTACTACCATCATCGCTGCCGCTGTTGTTGACGTCAACATGAAACCGCGCCCGCCCGGGCAACCGACCCGCAATGAAGTGTGGCGCGGGCACATTCAGACGCGTCTCGGAGTTCCCACCTGTGCATAAACAACTGGCCGCTTTGCGCGCGAGTTTGCGCGCGCCAGCGCAACCGTAGAGATGCGCCAACCAGTGCCAAGTAGCCATCGCAATCGCGGCCGCATAGACTGTGAAAAACAAAGCTGCGGGTGGGAGAGTGGGATGACTGCGCGACATGTAGTTGACGGCTTCAAGCTATGCAAGGTGGGCTCCGCCACGTACATTGCACCGCGTGGCTTGCAACACAGAACTGAACCACTTAGATTGCACCACATAATTTGCACCGCATGGCTTGCACATCATGTGATACACCGCATAGCTTGCACCGCAAATGTTGCACCAGATAGCTGGCACGACATCTCTAACACACCCGCAATGCAATTGTTTACGCTTTGGGGGCGCTGAATCAGATGCGACCGACACCTGGGTCAGCCAAGGCTGTGACGCGAAGACTCCCGACCAGCCTCACAGTGGCTCTCAAACCCCAGAGGGAGGGAGGGAGGGAGCGGTCCTCTGCGTGACTCGCAGATCCAGCTTGGCCAGACGGGACCGGAGGGGATTGGTTGACCCCCGCTGGCGCTGACCCCCGTTACTAGAAGAAGACGAACTTGCATAAACAAAATAGTTTGGAGATCCGCGCGGATTTCCTGGAACGGCGCTGGACCTGCATCCATGGCGCGCGGAGCGCGCCAGGGGCGGCGCCAGAGGCGCAGTCCAAGGCTCCAACGCCGATCCGATGAATCCTCGCAGATCTCCGGTGTATGCAACTTGTTCTCATTCAAGTTACGTGCGCCCCCACCTCATTGCGAGGAACTTCTCGGGACCTGGGGGCGGGCTCGATGTTATACATCACTCCGTGTGGCTGGCCACGGAGGTCGGTTTGCAGACGTCCATGCTTCCAAAGATGTGGGAGAGAGGAGCGTCTGCACGCCGGACGCCCTGACCGACCAATCGCGGTGGTTCATACACCGAGCCCATCCGAAGACCATGGCTGTAGTGGCAGCAGTTGCACAGGCGCCCTTGCGGGCAAGGACTCCCGGTCAGGTTGTGGCGGCACGGCATGCACTGGTCCTTGAGAATGGCACTTCTTGAAATCCCCCCGGGCTTCTTGGTCGGCGCTGGACCCGAGACGAAGCCGATCCAAGAAGTGCGGGCGGACCATCAACATGTACAGCCAAACCGTATCGTAAGGATGCGGGGTGAGGATGCAAGGGCCTTGGAAGGCCATGTGAGCGTTTCTCGGACGAGATTAGCCAGCGGAAGACGCCAAGGATGGGCCGAGGAGGCAAGGACGCAAGGGTACCCTTGGGAAGGTTGCCCACCCTCCCATCCTTACCTGTGCGGGATGACTGTACGTGCATTTCGCCTTCCCAGGCATGCGACGCCCTGACTTCTTCAGCACGGCGCCCCTAGAAGCCCCGACCCTCTCCCAGGCACCGGCTTTTCGTCCCGGGCCGCTTTCTGACGGCCCCGGGGCCCGCTGAGGGCCCCAAAAGGGGCCGACAGTAGCCAAAGACACCTCCCGCCCTGGATGTCATCCTCGGCGCGCTCGCGTCTGGGCTTGCTCCTCCCCGGTCCGCGTCGTGGTTCCTGGACCCGCGGGAGAAGGCGTCCACGAGCTGCTTGGCGGGCGCCCCTCCGCGATCCGGCTCTCCCCGGCGGCCCCCCCGCCCCTGCGGCCGCTGCGGCCCCTCGCGCGGCCCACCGCCCGGCAGCTCCGCCGCGCCGCCCGCGGCGGGGGAGTCGGGCGTCATGCCTCCCGAGCTTCGGGCTCGCTGGCAGCGGCCTGGGCCGCAGCGGCTGCGGCACGGAGCTGGCCGTCGTTCGGACATCCATACCCTGTTTCTTTTTTGTTCGGTTTCGTGCGTGGCTTTTTCGACGAATGATCAAGGATGCTCCTCGATGGTCCTCGCCGAGGGGAAAATGCACACGTCCGAGCGATGCCAAGGGAGTGGCGGTGGCATGTGCTGACCCATCACGCCCGCTGCCGAGCCGAGGGGGCGGGGAGAGCTCGCTCGCTCGGGCTGGGGCACTCCAGGCTGGGATCCTGGGAGGGCCGCTGGAGGGCGGGGCAGGGTCGAGGAGAATGCTCGAGCAAGGGGCGAGGATGCTTTTGGCTCGCGGACGGAGGTTGTGCGTGCTTGCCCTCTGCGGCCTGGGATCAGCACGATACTTGGCTCGATCGAGCGAGAGGAGGCCACAACTTGGCTCGGGCTCTGGATCAGACGCTGAAGTTTGGCGTCGTTTGCTCGCACTTGTGCTCACTGGCCTTCTCGGGAGTTGGGACCCTCCTTTTTATCTCCGCTGCGCCGCGCGTGCTCCTCTTCCGCCCGGTCCTTCTTATTCTCGGCGCTGCGCGCTGCTGCCACGCTGTTGATGCCGCTGCCCCCCTAACGCTGCCGTGCGATCTACGAGACCACACTCAAAACGCACCCACAGGACGAATGTATATTCGAAGCACCTGCAGACCATCCAGGGGACCCTTGGAACTTCGAGGCGCGCCGTGCGCATGCCCGCCGCACCGCGGTGCCCTGCCGCTCCTTTGTTCGTGCATGTTGGTTGTCTCTCTATTTCTCTCTTTCTCTCTGTCTCTCTCTCTCTCTCTCTCTCTCTTTCTCTGTCTCTCTCTCTCTCTCTCTCTCTTGCTCTTTCTCTCTCGCACTCCAAGGAGCGGCCGCGGGCGGTCGGAGCTGCCCGCGGACGCCCGAACGCTCGCGCGAGGCCGCGCAGCCCTCGCGGCTGCAGGCCTGGCTTCAGGGCGGCGAGACCGAGCCCACCGCACGGCGCGGCCAGCTCGCAAGCTGAGCCGCGCCGCCCTCAATCCTCGCCTCCGTGGCAGGGGGGCGCCACGGAGGTCCCAGGAGAGGGCGCGAGGGCCCAGCGCTCCACGCCAGGCCCAGGGCGGGGCCCGCCCCGCACCGCGGCCAGCAGCACCCCGCCTGCCGCAACGGCGCCAGCCGCCCAGGCACGTCAGCACCACGGGCAGCAGCGCCACAGCGCGGGTTAGGATGACGAGCCAGACGTCGCAGAGCGGCGGCCGCGGTCGAAGGTCCTGAGCACCTCCAGGTCGGCCTTCGCCACCTCGCGCTCGCTCGCGGACAGCGGCACCAGCAGGGCCGCCTCGAGGAACGCCTGGACGTCGTCGCGCGGCGAGACCCCAGCGCGATCGCCGAGGTCGTCCAGCCGCTCCCAGAGCTCCACCCAACAAGCTGCATGCTTCACGTGCTCCTTCAGCTCCTGCAGCTGGATGGGCTTCGCCTCCGCGCCGCGGGCCGAGGGCAGGGCCGCAGGAACACCTACGCCACTCGCAGCCTCCGAGCCCGCCGCGGCCGCGCCGCCGCCCCGCGCCGCGCGCACCACGGGCAGCTCGTCTGCGAAGGCGTCGTCGAAGTCCTCGTCCTCCGCCGCACGACCGCCATCCACCTCCATGAGGGCCGATGCAGCAGCGGCACCACGCCGACGTCGTCCGCGGCGGCGCTTCCGCCGAGGCGCGGGGGCGCCTGGCGGAGCCGAGCCAGCCTCGGGAGCATCGGGGGCACCATCACGCTCGGCACCTCGAGGATGGGCAGCTTCAGCCTGCATCGAGCGGCGGGGCTTGCGGGCGAGGTCGGCAACCGCCGCTCGCAGCAAACCCTCCGCCGCTCGCAGGAGGCGCGTCCCGCTGCGGGACGCCTCCACAGCCAGGCCACTGGCGGCGTGGGCCGCCAGGAGGGCGCCGCGGGCAGCCTCCAGGGCCCCCCGCCGCGCGGCATCCGCGCCACCGGCGTCAGCACGTGCGGCGAGTCCGGCAGGGGCCATCCCGACGAGGCGGAGCGGCGGCGCGGGCCCAGCGGCGCACGGCTTGAGCCGAGGTGGCTTCTCGCTCTTTCTCTCTCGCTCTTTCTCTCTCTCTCTCTCCGCTCTTCCTCCCTCTGCCCCCCTCCCTCTGCCCCTCTCCCTCTGCTCCCCTCCCTCCGCTCTCCCCCTCTCCCCTCCTGTCTCTTCCCTCGGTCCGCGTTCTCTCTCCTTCCCACGTCCTTTCTCTCCTCCACCCTCCGCCTCGACTGCCTACCAGACCACACCAGCCGAACCAGAACACCCACATTCTGGGTCGGGAGGGTACGGATTCCGTATGTGTGTTTTCAATGTTCCCCGACGCCCCCCCCACTGGGAATGGTTGGGGCCTTCGGGTTGGGTGGGGGTGCTTTGGTGGGTGGTGACGCCCTCCCTCCGCAGATTTTGGCCCGAGCGTTCGCTGCAGGTCCTTCGACCCCTCACGTGACGCATACAGTCAAAACGCGTGTTGAGGACGGGTGCTACGGACGCAAGGCCCCTGGAGGCCGAACATGTGATTTCTTGGGGCGGCAGGCGACTGGTGAAAAAGGCACACGACAGGCCTTGGAGGCAGGAGCACACAGGGCACCCTGGATGAATTCGCGCGTCCTTGCGAGGCGCGTTGCCTGTAGGAGCCATCCCCCCCCCAGTCATGCGACGCCCTGGTTTCTTCAGGACGGCGCCCCTAGAAGTCCCGACCCTCTCCCAAGGACCGGCTTTTCGTCCTGGGTTTAACTCGGGCCTGTCCCCCGACAGGGGGATTTTCGACGAAAAACAAAGAATACCCCCAAATAGTCCAGAAATCGTCTGAAACTATTTTTCTAGTTTTTTTGAACCTTTTTGGGGCATTTTTGGGGTATGTTTTATTTCTCGTCGAAAATCCCCCTGTATGGGGGGACACGCCCGACATAATCCTGGGTCGGTTTTGACGGCCCCGAGACCTGCCGAGGGCCCCCCGGGGCCGACCATGTAGCCCAAAACACCTCCCGCCCCGGATGGTCACTCTCGGCGCGCTCGTGCCTGGGCTTGCTCCTCCTCGGTCCGCGCCGTGGCTCCTGGACCCGCGGGAGAAGGCGCCCACGAGCCGCTTGGCGCGCTGCTCGTGGCCGCCGCCCGCGCAGCCTGCCGAGCGCGAAAGAGCGCCCCGCCGCACCCTGCGGGGCGGTTCTGCCGCTGCTGCCGCGGAGGAGCGCGGGAGCGTCCAGCCCGAGGGCGGAGAGGCCGAGCCGCCTCGCCTCCGCGCTCCAGAGTGCCCGCGGGGGCGCAGGGCGCGCCATCCTTGGGCGCGAATGGACGGGCGAGCGATACCTGGGCGAGTTCGGGAACCCTGAACCCCCAAACCGTCTTTTGACCTCCTGGGGGTAATAAATCTTTGAATTCCGCTGGCTTCCGCCGGCGGAAGACCTTCCGCCGGCTGCCGCCGCGGGAGAGATTGCAACTCGTTCGATCCTCGGAGGCATGGCCCTGTTTGGAACGCCGCGCATGGAGGGGGGGGGAGAAAGGTGCACCCCTCGGGCCCTGGAGCCCTCCTTTGGGGCCCGAGGGGGCCCCGCTAGAGGCCCTGAAGGGATCCTTTTTGCTCGGCAGCCCCCGCTGCCCCCCGCGTGCATCGTCCCCCCAGTACGCGAGGCACAGAGTCCCCCGCCGAGGACCCCGCCGTCCTGGTGGACACGCGGCGAGCCGCCCGTCGCGCTCGACGCCCCGCGCTCACGCTCCAGGCGTCGCGGGGCCCAGGGTGCCGCCAAGGCCTTTGCAGCGTCCCAGGAAGCCGATTCCGCTGGAATCGAGCTCCCACATGGTGCGGGACGTGGTGCGGAGCCGTGGGCTAAAGGAGGAAGAGGAGGAGGAGGAAGAGGAGGAGGAGGAGGAGGGAGGAGGAGGAGGAGGAGGAGGAGGAGCAGGAGGAGGAGGAGGAGGAGGAGGAGAGAGGAAGAACGGCCCGGAGGTGAAGGGCGAGGAGAACGCAGCCCTGCGTGCGGCTGCTAAGCGAGCTCCCCAGCTACCGCGCGACGCCGGCCCGGCAGGTCCCCGGAGCTGCCCCCTCGAGGAGGTCGACCCTGCTGGACCTGGCGGTCGGCGCAGGCCTCGTCCGCGAGCGGATTGTCTCGCTCCGCATCCCCCCCCCTCATTCTTCCGAACCTTCCGCCCTAGCCTTCCGACCCCTTTTCGACATGATCGATGTGGGCTGCCTGGAACTTCGTATATGCCTTCTACGCGTTCCGATGCGCTCCTCCGCACCCTCCGCGGAGGTCCGAAGGTATGCATGGCTGGAGGTGGACGGTCTCCTGCGCAGAGCTGGCGGGGCTCGACCGCGGGTCGTGCAGGAACTCTGCGAGGAAGGGGAGGAGGAGGAGGACGATGAGGAGGAGAAGGAGGACGAGGAAGAGGAAGAAGAGAAAGAAGAACCATACTAAGAAGAAGAAGAAGAAGGAGGATCCTCGAAGGCCTACCAAGTGCACCCTGCTTGGAGCCGCTAGTTTCTATGTGCCGTGATCTTCGAGCGCATGGCCGAGGTGATTCGGCAAGCCAGCTTGCGATTGCAGTTTCAGGAGGTTACGCAACCCAGCACGAGTTGTTTTCTGACAGGCGTGTTGTTGACGGCCTTTGTCAGTGGTGCAAGCGAGCGCTGGGCACTAAGTCTCACAGATTCCACGACTGCGATGCGCAGAAGCTCTTCTTGTGTAGCCTGGATTTGGACGAACACATCGAGGAGGCAAGGCGTGCTGATGAGTACGATGTAGGCTACACAAGATGTCTTTTCGAAAGTCCTGAATGGCAGTGGCCAACTCCGTTCATCAAGGCTGAGCCTCGGTGGAGCTGCTTCCCACGAAGCGGACTGCTGGACTCAGGCTACATATGTCTTGACGGCTCGGGTTTGGACCAAGATAGTTTGACGTTCGCTCGAGCAGGGTATGCTGTTGTGGGGCTAGATGAAGGGGGTAACATTCACGGCAGTTTGTACGGTCCTCTCCCGCACCTCCTGCAGCTT